AAGGTGCACCTCAAAACTTGTGGAAAAGGTTGTTTTGATGCTGACAAATCCTCTAATTGATCATCTCAACCCCAGATGCATGGATGTGTAAAAAAAAAAGACTTTAAGCCCTGTAAACAATGCATCTTGTAATGTATTATCTGGACCATATATGCTCGATCTACACTATTTTTGAAATTTTAAATTTTATAATTAGATATAAAATTGGCTTTGACGAGATTATAGGAATTTTCGCCACTTAAAACCGCATCTTTTGACATCAATTCGAGATGACCTTACTTTGACTGACTCAGGCGCCAAGCTTGTACAAACCTCACCCTTTATTAAATTTATAAAAAAAATTATTAAAAAGGTTTTGCAAAATCCAATCATTCTATAATATTAGTATTAAGTAACTAAATAATAATTAAAAATAAAGAAATTATTGAAAGTTAAAATGCAATGCTTAATACATTATCATTCAATAATATTATGATGAGGCACAAATTGATGCATTTATAGCATTATGATGTAGTGTACAGCTTTATGCAATCATTATGATGTGGTAAGTCTCGCACAAGATTCCCAATATTAGGAATCAAGATCCCTCATCCTAGGGATCAAAATTCATGGTGACCCCCAAAAAGGAACATCGGATTGTGATCCCAGAGAAGGATTGCCACCTTAGTTGGAAGACCCTGGTAACTACAATCATCATCATGAGACCTTGCAAATAAAATACATATAGTTTCAACATTATGGAGAGTACGTTGGTTCTCCACAAGCCACAAGTCTAGCAACAGTAGTTGATGATGACATGATGTTGGTATGCTACTTTTTCTTGATATGATTCTCAAGTGTTTCAAACCCTATCCTCTCCACAAATGATTGTAGGAAACAACATAGTTTAAGGGGACAATGACATAGTCCGCTTGCTTCCAAATTTATGGGCCAAATAAACGCTTGGGTCCATCAAAATCCTATAGAACCCCTTTCATGATAATTTATAAACCAAAGACCCCCCTCTACTTTTTTGATAGGTCGAAACTATGAATGATGTACGACCCTTAATGCAATTTAGTCCAAATTGGACACAAGAAAGCCATTTCATGGCTCATTTTTCTTTCTTAACTTTTGCCCTCTCTACCAAATCAAGTCTCCCCCTCTTAATCCAGTCTCTCTCCTAAACCAAGCCTCCCTCTCTTCACTCTTTCTCTATCTACAGAAACGGGTACGCCTCTATAATATGAGGAGCAAGACATGCCTAGTTAGAGAGAGAGTGAAAAGAGGAGACTGCTACAGAGAATCTTGCTTTGGTAGAGGGAGAAAGACTGAAGTACGAGAGGAGGACCCACTACAATAAATAAAAGATGAGTGAACAGAGAGAGCAAGCTAAAAAAATGGATTTTTAGGTTTAATATGGACTACATTGAGCTTCATGGATTGAACAATGTTATAAATGTTACTTTTTATATACCAAAAGGAGGAGAGGGGGTATTTGGCTAATAAATTACCATGAGACGGGTATCAAGGGGTTTTTGTGGACCTGAGGGATCATTTGGTCACTAAGTTTGAGAGAAGGGGGCAACGTCATTCTTTCAAATTTAAAATCACATATGCTGAGTGGGAACATGAGTGGATAGCTAAACAGCCCACTTAGTTTAAAGATCATTGGTCCTGCAATGGATGTACCTTGAGATGATTACCACTAATCAGACCATCAAGTTGAAAACCAATAAAAATCATTAATAGGATCATCATCATCACTATCAAGCTTATATTTGGGGTCAGCTAGGATTCAAGAAAAGATGTGGCAAAAGTTTTACACCGACTGCCTACCTAACACAACCCACCTCCTTTACCCAGGCTTGGGACGGGTTAGGGAAATTTTAATGTTGTCATCCTCATTAGACCAAAACTCGTTAATAGGATATGAACAATAGTTTTTTTTTTTTTTGAGAAATGATATGAACAATAGTAAAGGCATCTAAAACATGTATGCAATGTCTAGAGAGACATGCATGTGGTTTGAAAAGACAATCAAAGGTCACAATTAGATCAACAGCAAAAACTAAAACCAATTGATCCAAAAGCACCTCAACTTTAAAAAAGGAAAGCCCACCAGCCATCAAGTGTCAACTCCACAAGGATACAATCAACCACCAACACATAAAAGCTCAAGGAGCTAGCAAACATCTAGCTACCAACCCAATGGAATCTTAGCAAGCCTAGACCATTGATCTCAACTTAAGCAATCGAATGATAACCACCCATCACATCTTCCATTCAAGCTAAATCATTCTGAAGGGGTCATTAAACAACTTTAGTCCTTGTCTCAAATTGCATTTAAACATGAAAAAGAACCTCAACATGCAAATTCCCACTCTATCATTCTTGAGGTGTACGACATCTCTGGTTTGCCGTTGATTTTTTTTTATTTCAGCCTTGATATCATAATAGAAATATTTTAGAAATATTTTACAGATTAACGAGCATCGAAACTCCTTTCTTGTGACTCTGATTAAAGATCTAGGCAAAACTCTACTTACAGTCACACAAATGCAAGACAACAATTTTGCCGCTATCCCTTTGTCTTTTCTTCCAAAACACTCCGCAATTATATTGAAGTGCTAAAAAAATGGACCGAACCAAGTTATGGTTAAACAAACAACCGGCCAGTCCATTAATACACAAAGAAACCTCAAGTGAGAGTATGGAGTAGGTCCTAACTCCATAAACCCCCTGGCCAATTCTCCATAACTATATTCTTAGAGACAAATAGAAGTTTTCATGGCAATAATAATAAATCTCCAGCATTGACACAGTTCAAACTGTATCAAAGATGTAATCCAGGGCCACGTACAGAATAAACAAACTAAAGGGGGAAGAAATCTGATCCCATGGATAAGAGCTTTTGTTCCAATCCTACAACCTGTGGAATAAAGTAATGCACTCTCCTGTAAACATGAGATCACTCGGATAATATTAGCTATTATCCATGGGTATTCCCTTTATCAATGTGCTTCTTTGAGAATGAGAAGTGGGTGGCCACCATCCACCTAGGGTCAAGGACTAGAGAAGAATCCTAAGGTCTATTGAGGGTTCAAATAAAGACCTTAAGAACTCCACCTTCACAATTTCTAGGTTGTCATTGCACCTGTATTCTCTGAAGAATTATCATCCAAATGGGGCTTGAAGTAGCCCACTGGTGGCTGGACACACCAAGCACAAGGTTTAGTTTTCTAATAATACCAATACAATCATGCTTGAAGCCTGTACTACGACATCAAGTCCAAAACTCCCACGCTCTTCCTAGACTGAGACCTGAAAACAATTGTTGAACTTTTAATTCGTTTTCTCAATACCATGTCACCAAGTTAATGCCACTAAATTTTATTTTCTTTTTCCTAAACGCCCCAAAGCCCATCATGGCACAAACATACCAAAAAACTCAACTTCTCATTGGAAACAATGAACCAGATGATAGCCCCACAAAAAGTACCACAAATTTTGTCATCACCGAGCCAATTTCAAGTAAGTTAAAAAATTGGGTTCATAGTCGAACGAACATTACACTGGTGGCTTGTTCTCCCAAATAAAAAACTCCAACATCAATCCTTACTCCACTGAAATTCACATAAAAATTTGGCTATTCACCCCTTTCATGATCCTACCCCTAAAGATGCTCCTTAACCTTTTCTAACAATCAAACTTCAAGCATGTCACATATAGAGGATAACCTAGCAAAAGGTAACTTCAAGCATGTCACATATAGAGGATAACCTAGCAAAAGGTAGCCCACAATTTCCAAAGTGAACAATTCTAAGACGTAAGAAAATAATCCCTTGTCAACTATTTGAAACTTCAACCACAATACAAGGCCAATAGCTACATATAAGGCTGCCTACAAAATTCCTGACCCCTTTTCCTAGAATGATCCCCATGAAGAGATGAATGATGTGACTGAGAACACCCCATATCCATCTTTTACATAGAATACACTCCTATTACAAATGCTCTAAATAGGAAACCTGACTCTACTTTTTTTATAGAAATTGGTTTTATTTAAATAATCTGCTTGTTAAGAGCCCGAGTTGTTCAGAAGGATTTGTTATGTAAATGACACTATTTAAGCAAGTAATTTTTACAAGAGACAAGAGGTTTGCTGGCGGAAAAGATGATCATATGCAAGGACAATTGCGTATCACATGCATTCGTATGCAAGTACAAAATGCATTTAAATTTCTACATATGTAAGTGAATATGCTTTTAGGTTTCTACAGACAAAGAGCCAAATGCACATAGATCCACATGCGTTATGCCAAAGCCCAAACAATAAAATTACAAACTATTGGTAACCAGCCAGACTGAGCCGGTTCCCATAGATTTGGTTCCGGACTTGCCAGCCTGTCGAGTCTGATTAAGTTGGGCAATGAGTCGGACATGCCGAGTTTTCTCATACTCCCATAAAAAGAAACATTTACGTAAACATATAGATGAAAAAAGGGAACAGAGATAAACAAGATACATAGATTGTTAAGGTTCTTCCTGTAACTATCCTGAGGTGGACTTCCCACCAGCATAAAACCAGCATAGCACTAATAGTGTTTATTATTAAACTCAGAAAACAAAGAAGAGTCGTGAGAAATAGGAAACTATCTAAATATCATCATTCCTCACCCCAGTTAGCAGATCTTCATAGATGCATTTCATTTTCCAAATCTCCAGAACATGCATATAGAAGCATACAAAATTTCTGAATATATACGCAAAGCATCATAAAAAGTGCATACCAAGTAAAAGCTAACTATTTTTATCAGTCTACTCAAAATATGGACTAAATAACTTCTTTAGATCAAACCATTCCAAAAGAGATACCAAGCATAAAAGCGAAATACTAAAGAAACCACAGAAGCAGAACTAGATACAGATCATTTATGAATTGATGAATAAAAATGATAACCTAAATTTTCACAAAACCTCCATTTTGTCCACATAAAAACAACGGAAATGGAGCGTACCAGCCATGCAACCGCTTGTGAAGATTAATGGTGTACTCTCTGGTCACCACTTCCTCCTTCCTTCCCTTGCTTTTCTCCACCATGGCTGCAAAAACCCTAGGTTGCCTAAACTCAAAAAAAAAAAACCTAGAAAGAGCCCCAAACCATGAATACCGTAAATTTCACCCCTTGAGGTATAAGAAACCCTAATTTTGAGGCTTTCTAATACTCGTTTTCGCTGTTGCACATGGGCCTTCGAATTGGAAAGGAATTACATGGCTACCCTTGCTGTCATCGCCGTCCATTTCAATGATGGACGGTAACAATTGACAACTATTATAAATTAGTTAAAAGATACAAATCTTATTGGAGACAAGAATTTAGAATTGAAAAAAGTTTATATAAAGATGCTATCTTATAAATGTAGACCTCAAAAATCTATCGGAATAGGTAGCTTTAATGTTGAAAAACTCTTTGATCGATCATCTCGACATCCATTTTCAAGATATTTATATGTTTATAGATCTACTTGATTTTAACCATTTTTTAAATTTAAAATTTTATAATTAGGTATAAAAATAGATTTTGAGATAATCCTAAGAACATTTTGCATCAAAATTATACACCATGATAAAATTTGAATGTGCACCTTACCTCTACACCTACGGATGCATCCGTATGCAAATTGCACCCTTTAGAATTTGACTAGATAAAGGAGATTTGGGGCCTCTAGATAACTGGTAGCTCAAAATTCCTTGAGAAAAAGAAGTTTAGACTTCTGTAAGCTGGAGTTTGGTATACCTGGAATCTATAAATATTGTGTTTGATACATGTTTTGAATTTTTGTGAGGTTGAGAGCCTGTGTTTAAGAGGACCTGGAATTTTAGAAAATATGGTGTTTTGGTCATCTAAATTATTTTCATATTTTTTTTTATAGATGCTCCAAACTGAAACGTAAAAATAAAACACAAACTTCATTTCAATATGATATTGGAAAAAATAAATAAAAACGAAGTAAAGCCAACATTTTTTTAAATACGTCGCCCCCCAACGGTCCAATTTAGATCAAGTGAGCCATTCACCGTTTGATCTAGATCCGATGCCTCAGGGTATTTTATTTTTAGTTTTTTTTTTTTTACAAATTGTATGAATATGAAATTTAGTGTGTGCCATCTTTTCAATGGGGCACACCAAAAAATAATTTTTCGATAATATAATAATCAAAATATCCTTTCAAACTTTCGGAGGTATTTTGGTCATTTTATTTTGTTGGAAATTTTTTTAAAATATTTTAACAAGTGTGAGTTTAAGAGATGAGTGGACACCCAAAATTTGATATAAAAATATTTTTGTAGAAAAAAATAAAAAATAAAACATTGTAGAGACATGACATTGTTAATGGGACTATCTCAATTGTCCGTTTAGAATGGACAGTTGAAAAAAAGGAAGTATAGAAGCTTTATGCAGTCGGGAAAGCATTGAAAGTTTGCTTAACCAAAACATGATTATTGTAGTTCACCTAATAGTCTATTTATCTCAACCGCCCAATCATGATTGGCTGGTTGAGAGCATTTAAATTTGATCTTAACGGCTACATGGGAGCAAGGTGAAATTTCGCTTCACTTTTAATGCTCATGTATCTATAAAAATTATAAAATCAAATATTTTTAATAAAATAAACTGATCAAAATACCTCAAAAAAATTTATAGGTGCTTTGGTAATTTGACATCAAAATATTTGTTTTAAGCCATTAATAGATCCTGCCCGATGAGACATACGAACCCTCCGAATTATACGTCGAACCGGCTTTTTAAAACAAATTGGAAAAAGATGCCGGAGTTCATAAAATTCAAATTTATGGAAGGCCGCAATTCATATCTTTTGGGGCGTATAAAAGTTCTAGCTGCCTTGTGTGCTATAGCACTTCCTATTAGACATAAGCACTTAACTCGAAAATTTTTAAAAATAGGCGGTCCAAATAATGTATTACAAGATAAACTATTTATCATATTTGAAATTTTTTTTCTTTTCATATTCATACATATTGTTGTCGAGATGATCAATTAGTGGATTTTCCAACATCCAAACAACCTTTTATGATGGATTTTTGAGATGCACATTTGATTATGCATTTCAAGATTGCAACCTTATATAAAATTTTTCCTTTAAAAAAAAAAAGGTGCGGTTTGTATAGAGCCTAGGCTTTAAACAATCAAATTAGAGCCACCTTAAAACAATGTCTAGAACTGTGGTATCAATATTGGAAATCATTGTAAAAGCCTTAAAATATATTTTCATCTTTATTTATAAAGTTTAAAGCTTAAAAAATAGTGTAGATCAACAGATCTATAAAAACTTGAAAATCTTGAAAATTGACGGTTCAAAAATGCATTACAAAATGCACTATTTCCAAAACTTGAAATCCATTTTCTTTTTCATGTTCACGCATCTTGATGTCAAGATGATCAATTTGAGGATATGTGGGCATCAAAACAACCTATTTTAGTAAAATTTTTGAGGTAGGCTCTAATTTGATTATTTAGAGCCTCGGCTCTATATAAACTTTTCCCAAAAAAAAATGCACCCATATTTTCTGCCAAAGGGAGTATATGAATAGTATGCTCCCATGGAAGCATAGTATATACCGGATTGCAATGAAACATGGACCATTGGAAAGTTTATTTGATTTCCTACCAAAGTAGCATAGATTTTACGTCATTGAGACAAATTTTGGTGGTTATAAAGTTTTGACTACGTTCTAGGGCTTTTATTTGGATTAAATCTGTACACACCCTTAAACTTTGATATACTAGCCTGAATAAGAAAATTACATCTAAACCAGTATTGAAAGGATCACAAAGCAAAACCCCAGTAAATTTATTGAATCTAAGTTCAAGTACATGAGACCAGGGGTGGGAAATGGGTCAGGTTGACCTGGCTGGGTCCGGATCTGGACCTAGACTAGGGGTGGCAACTCCAATGATTTCCCATTGATGCCCAAAATTGAGAAGAGATCTTCCATTCGTCCGCGTTTTTACCTCGGTTTTTGGGGAAAAAAAAAAGAATCCATGTCTACCAAGATTGTATAGGAGCAAGACATTATGACAAGTATTGGCATTGATCTATCACATGTCTCAAGCTAGAGTAAATGCTGCCACACTCTTATAAAGAGAAACACTAACCATGTTATGTTCGTTTTTTGGGTTGAGAAAATAATTTTATTTGTTATTTGATCCAAGGTTCGATTCTTATTTATTTCAAATTCATTGAGAACCAAATTTTGGCTTAAAAACTATAATATCTTAGCCATTGGAAAAGAGTCTCAATGCATGGGTCTTGGCCAATTTTAACATTAAAAATAAAATAAAAAAAATCAGATATGCATAGAGAAATGGAAACATAAAAAATAAAAAAAAAAGCACAAACAAAAATAAAATTTATTAGATATGCCATTCTCCACAGTCTGTATTAAAAGTAATGTAAACTAGGCTCCTAAAGTAGACTAAATAACAAACGGGCAAGCTTTTCTATGCTACCCTATAGCATAAAACTTATAGAATCCTCCCTATCCAACCGTTTATTCTGAATAAATGGTTGAGATGGCCCCAATCACAATGTTACATCTCTACACTATTTTATTTTTACTTTTTTTTTGCAAAATATTTTTGCACCAAATTATGGGCATCCACTCATCTTCTAAACTCGCACTTATAAAAAATATTCTCAATAAAATAAAATGACAAATATATCTTTGAAAGTTTTAAAGGTTATTTTAGTCATTGTATTTTATGGAAAAATAATAATAATATTTTTAGGTGGCAAATTCCATAAGACACCGGTGAGACCAACTTTGCTCTATAGGGACGGAATGTTGGGTAGGCAAAAACAATTTACTTATAGAATGAGTGTAACAGATATGAGGATGTTGAGATGGATGAGTGGCAAGACAAGAAGGGATAGAATTCACAACGAATCTGTTAGAGAGAATTTAGGCGTGACACCAATAGACAATAAAATGAGAGAGAGTAGACTTAGGATGAGCTGGCCATGTGTGACGCCAACCAAGTACAACATCTATTAAGAGATGTGAATTAGTTAAAGTGGAAGGACTGAAAAGAGCAAGGAATAGGGCAAAAAAGACGTGGTTGACAGTAGTCCGAAAAGATATGGGGACTTATGGCATCACTGAGGATATGGCCTTTATTAAAGCAAAATGGAGAACGACGATTCATGTAGACGGCCCCAATTAATTGGCAAAAGGCTAAAATGAACATGAAAGATGAGTATAGTTTTTAGGTGCACCCCATTGAGAAGCTGGAGCATACCAAATTTCTTATACATACAATTTGTAAAAAAAATCTAACGCTAAAATACCTTGAGGCATTGAATCTAGATCAAGCAGTCAATGACTCATTTGATATAAATTGGACAGCTGGATGAGGGGGGATATCTTTTATGTTGTAAGGAAAGTATAGAAACCTTTCCCATAACAATAACGCTGATAAATTGCTTTTAATTGTTAAAGCATCCCAATAAAAAAACGAGGACCAAACTATCCCTACATTCGCAAGATACCAAACTAACCCCAGCATATGAAGAGACCCCCATGATTATGCATGAAGACAGCCTAATAAGTTGCTACCCAAACCAGTAACTAATGAATGAAGGAATATTCTGAACCCATTAAAGACCACCTAACAAGAAAGAAAGGGGAAACAAATAAATAGATAAATTTTGAACCCAATTTAATCACCGAAAGAAGATGGAAAAAAAACGATTTACATCCTTAAGACTGTTGTCACATTGAAATACGCAGTGTAGTGCTCATTCTTCAAGCTAAAGACGGGCATAAGCAAGAATTTTCTCTTGGGTCCCTTGGCCCAAAAACTCATGCTGTGGTATTGGCTCATCCCTGTTGTCATTTCAAAGCTCACCTGGCTTTTAAACTCGGGATCAGGATTAGTTGACACACACTTCAATGAAGCCGGTCGATTCTCAAAATAACTTCCTCCTTCTGACTCTCAGACTCAAAAGAATTTTGTCCCATCCAACCCAGCAACAACCGGGAAATTGGACACATTGCCTGAATCAGATGAATTTTTGAAGCCTACTAACAGCTCTTTATCCAGCCCCTGGGGCATCACAACCTTTCCCGGAAAACAAAATGGCTCTAGTGACACTGTCTTTCCAAGAATGCTTGTATCATTAGCATCTCCTTTGCCTTTTGAGATCCATCTAAAAGTGGCATCTGGCTCACTCACAATGTAGAAACCTACTCGTGTCATTGCTAAAGTGTTGCCCGTAGTGAAAAGTTGTTGAAAATCTCTAGTAAGAGTTATTAAGGTAGAGTTATAAGTGTCCGGGATTAGTGTTATTGAGTCAGAAAGAGATTCTTCAGCACCCAAGTATAACTCAGAGTCTCCATGGCTAAGACCGACGAGAAGGTAAGGGCCCAAGAGAACTGCTTTTAGGGAAGCAAACTCGGGGCGGTCATCTGTTCAATTAAAAGTTAAGTTAGAAGTTTATCTTTTTACCTTTTTCCTTTTATATTTGCATTTGTTATCTCTTATTTGTGGTGGAATTCGAGGTGATGAATAGACATTTTCATATTCTTTCTTTTTTGGCTCCTGGACTTGTAGGAACACTGGATGAATAATAAAGTAGATGATTAGAGTAACCATCTTCCGTTATGGGGTAATAGATTCCAAGGAAAATTATCTAAACTGTGAGACTAGATGTAATAATTTGGTTGTTGTTCTCTCCTTTTTGGCATCAAGGATTAAGAAAAAAGATCAAGGGAAAAACTTAATTCTAGTTAGATGATCTTTCTTTCTCTTGTAATTTCACAGGCTTCAAGGAAATTCGACAAATCTCTGGGAGTGGAAGCCAGAGAATCATACCCTTAATGGTTTCAGTCCTCAGTTTCATGGGGAAATCCAACAATAGCTCATCTTCTGAGCGCCATTTTTTAGTGACTGTTTTGAAGTTACCTGATCATAGGAACAACATATCATTACAAAAGCCACATACCAAAAAGTCGAACAACAATATGCTTGACACATACAGCATGAATGATAATAGTAAGCAAAAGTATCGCTCTTAATTGCACTCAATTGATCTATGTTCTATATGGGGAGGTATTGGGATCCTAGAGAAATCTAGATGCTTAGGAAAAGGAAATGACTATTCAGTATTGATACTGTTTCACCGAAACTCGCTCAAGCTCAGATAAAATGAAAAGGTAACACATGAACATGTTATAAGAGAATCACAAAATGATTTGCTAACACCCATTCAGGTGTATTAAAGTTCGGAGTTCCTCACAAAGTTGAATTTGATCAGTACTTAAATAAAGGCATCAATTATTCAAGTGAGAAAGTTCTTGTCTGGTATAACAATCCACCTCACTAATAAACTAGATTTATACCAAAAAATAAATGACTAGGTATTAAGGGATTGTCTACAAAGAGACCGTTTATCTTTTGTATATGGAGGTTACAATCATTATTGTCCCTTAAATTTCAAAATGGATAGTTGTAAGAGTGGCATTGAATAGACACAAAGTTCCAAAAAACAATTTCTTGGACTTTGTGACTCATCCCAAGACATCTAATTTGATATCTAATGAGTGTATATGATTGTGACCTCCATGTACAAAAGATTAATAGTCTCTTTGTACACAATCCCAAGGATTAAAACCACTAACTCATTAAATCTTAGGAATCCTTCTTGCAAATCAATTAGATGTAGACCATAAAACAAATAAACAAGCAAATACTAGAGCCACACACTAATTAAGGGAGATCAACACATGAGAATAGCAGTCATTGACCGGTAACCACCTGGGGTCGGGACAATCAACTTCTGATTATTGAGTGTAGCTGTTGTTCTATTTGCATCTATCCAAATTGGTATCCGTATATTCAATGTTGATTGTATGCCAGGCCCCTGTACAAAAAAGAGGTAATGTCCATTAAATGAATAATACACTCGCTTCAATCCATTCTCAATAATTTTGCTAATAATAAAAACTCTTTAGGGTTCAGAGTTTAAACACGGGAAGGACCGTTGGGATCTAGGCATTTATGTAAACCATATCCATTCGCTTCGTTACCATGTAATGAAATGATGGGTGGTGGTGGAGTGGGAAAGAAGGAAGGACCCACCAAATAGAACATAATGAGAGTTGTGATGGCAGCATTGAACAATGGTTCTCCATAGTCCACTGGATTTTAGTTTATGTGCTAGTAAGGAAACACAAAAATCTTCTTAGGACTGTTTTTAGCAAAATGAAGCAGGCTTAAAACAATACAATACCTCCATTCTTGAGAATTTATAAGAAACACACAGATTCGGATCAGAAGGAACAACATGCTGAACTTTTTTAGTCAATGTAAGCCTTCCTGAACTCCAGCTAAAAGAACTTGATATAAACTGAACGATGTATAGTGTGGGGTGGTCACCATCTTCCTCGAAGTAAATTGAGTTCCCTAGCTTTGAAAATGATTCGATACCTTCAAAACAGCAATTCCACAATTCAAAAGTCAGAAACATCCCAAAATAACCAATAATTTAGAATACTCGCTTCAAAAACAAGAAATTAAAAGAAACTTAAAACCCGTTTCACTTATTATGAAAGGGAAACTACAATCCAATGAAGCATGGAAAACCATAGTACATTGCGGTCTTTACTGTTCAATGAATCGACAAACAGTGATGAAACCCATGAGATATGGTTGCTCATAGTGCATGGGACCATAGCAATGATTGAAAACTCTTGAGTCAGCCATAATACTGAGCAGCGCTTAAGCCCAAATAAGATGGTCCGACTCAACCGAGTCTCAACAAGACAGCTGAATCTACAGTAACCTCAGGAACCTGTGAGACGAAGCCGGTTCCCGAGTTTTCTTCAATGGGACTCGATACCCTACTGGATCTGGAGAACTCCATGTTTTATACTTTCACATTAACTAAAACTTCTGAATTCAGCTATAGAAACAGTGGAACCAAATCTAGGAAGAAGTAATGCAACCTGTTCCATAGCAGCACCAGAATGTGGCATCACTATTTCCCTGGAAACCCCTGTACCTAGGGGCAGCATATAAATCATGGGCCCAGGTTCTCTCCCTTTTTGGATGCTTAAAACACCATTTATCAAAGCGTGCTCATAGTAATCAGCATATGCCAATTCCTTGGTCCATTGGAACAGGTTCCGAGCAATCTATAGGCATCCCAGTACAGAGCAAATGTTAACATCATAACTATTTGAGACTTATATTGGATAAGATTCACAATTCTCAAAAGTTACCTGGAACACATATAAAATACATTGATTTAATAACTGAAAAGTAATTCTCTAGAAGTAACATTATAACTAATATTATCTAACAATTAAGAAGAGAAAAAGAAAAAAGAGATATTTGAGGAGAGTTATAAGAAAGAAGATAATTAAAGACATATTGCAAGAATCCAATACTAGGTTTTGGATTTTGTTTTAGGAACTTAAGAAGTGCATTAATGCTTTCTTGCATCAGTTCCTAAGCTAATTAAATTTAAACTGTGAATGTAGCCATTCATTACCTATTCAATAGAGATTGTATGCTACCATGTTGGGTCATAGGAGTTATAGAAAATTTTGCATTTTCATGTCAATGTTAAGTCATAAGTACATGCATGTGTATTTTTGGGTTTACACATATGTGTGAATACATGTATGTATGCATGCATGTTTAAGACAAACTTATTTGGTCTTTTACAAATTTTGACGTTAGTGATAAATTTCTCTTATTTACAATATTATTTCGAAAAATACCCTGCCTAAATGAAGTATGATCCTTATGGTACAGCTAGCTCACGTTAAAAAACGCCTGAAAATTCTCTAATATGGCTCTCATTGAATATATGTGTATGTGATGAATAATGTATACTATCATGAACAAGAATTTGAAGAGCACTCAAACCTTGAGCATGTTGTAAGTTGAACAAGATTCTTGAGTCTTAGCTGAAAGATAATCAGTGAGGCGATTCACCTCAGCACACATATCATTGTACTTGTTATCAAACAGTACATGGAATAGAAAGCACTCAAAGTAATCACATGGAACATGAAATATAACAATATATTTTCCTAACTCTTGTGTGTGGTGAGTGAGAAAAATAATTATTCCCGTTTCTATAAGGTTGCAACCTGAAACGATCCAATTAAGGCGCACCTCCAAATTTATCATAACATGAAATTTTGGACTAATTTTTTTTTAGGATTATCTTAAAATATATTTTTGCATCTAATTATAAAATGTTAAACTCCAAAAATAATTAAAATCAAGTAGATCTATAAACATATAAATATCTTAAAAATGGACGGTCTAGATAATGTGCTGCAAGATGTACTATGTTTGGGACTCAAAATGTTTTTCTTTTTTTATATTCATACATCTCGATGTCCAGATGATCAATTAGAGGGTTTTTCAACATTAAAACAATATTTTCTGATGGATTTTTGAGGTGCATCTGGAATTCTACATTTTAAGATTGCAACATTATATAAACTTTTTCCTAATTTTTTCCTTTTTTTTTCCCTAAGTTTAGATTGGTTAGGAGGGAATGTAATTTGATGGGTTGGTGATGAGCAATAATGTATGGGCAGATCTTTGGTTTCTTATGTATTCTCTTTGAAGCTCTTTTGGAAGGGATAGTCACCATCAATTGCGTCTCAATCCAAACATAAAACTATGTCATTTATTAATGGTGTTCGTCAGTGCTAACATATTTTGGTACTAGGTGAAGGGAATGATTCTATTGGCTATATGTTGGGTTTGGTAATAGCCAAATCACCATACCTATATTTTATTTTAAAAGATTAAGGGTATTATTGTAAAAAAAACATGGAATTTCTTGATAACCAAGAAAGTGATATCTATAAAAAAAAATCAATGAAGATATAATACCCATCCTTTTGAAGGTCACCCTTCTTTGGGGTTATGGGAAGTGATCTCCAAGGTGTAGAGATAGGTCTCCAAGAAATAGTGAGACATGACCTCCACGAGAGGTGGTATTCCTATGACTTTTGAGTTGGTCAAATTTTTACTTCTAGAAAGCAAAAGTCTCTTGGTTGCTCTCAAGGTTCTTGATCGACGATGTTTGGGTTTTTTTTACCGATGTTTAAAAAGGTATACTTCTTGTAACTCAAACCTGTAATCTTCATTGTAATAGTGGATTTCTATTTGCCGCGGTCGTGGATGTAACCCTATAGAGTGAACCACGCAAATCGTGTGTTGCAGTGGTGTGTTTTTTATGTTTGCTTTATTTATCGCACTCGATTTATAGTTGTATTCATCTACTTCATATTTATTTTATCGTATACACGATCTTGGGTAGGATCCCGATATTTGAGAATCTTGGTTCCATAAGCGAGGAGTTCCTGATAACGCTATAATTGGTATCAAAGCACAACGTGTGTAAGGGGCTAAAACTTTAGTTAGAAAAAGATGAATGGTGAAGTTTGATTGATACATTGTTTGAAGTGGAGAAATATGAAGGCAAAGTGTTTGTGAAAATTCCACAATTGAGGCAAGTGAGAATAAATCAAGAAATATATTCAAGTTGCCAAGGCAATTATGGTGATTTTGCTATCAAGGTGGAGATTATTGGGTTTGGTGATAGCCAAATCACCATACTTATATTTTCTTCTAAAAGATTAAGGATATTGTTGTAAAAAAAAATGAACTTTCTTGAGAACCAAGAAAGTGATATCTATCAAAAGAGTTAATGAAAACATAATACACATCCTTTTGAAAGTCACCCCTCTTCGGGGTTATGGGAAGTGATCTCTAAGGTGGAGATGGGTCTCCAAGAAAGAGAGAGACATGGCCTCCAAGAGCGATGGAATTCCCATGGGTTTTGGGTTGGTCAATGTTCAAGAAGGCGGAGGCGGCCGCCTAGGTGGGGGTCTGGGCCTTCTAGGCGGGTGCCCAAACCCAAAGGCGGCTACTATTTTTTTTATTATAAAAAATTTGGATCCCTCACACCTCCCCCCATTTATTATATATACTATATAATAATTATGCATTAATACTATTTTTTTTATTTACCAATAAATTAATAATTAATATTACATGCAAAAAGCATTTTCATAGTTATTACTTTTAGGTTCTCAATAAATTAACTATTATCACATGCAAAAGGAATTTTTGATAAATTCGTAATTACAAATTATTATTATTTTTTGGTTTTCTCAATAAATTAATAATTACTGTTACTTGCAAAAAGCATTTTTGTAGTTATTGTTTTTTGGTTTCTAATAAATTAATTACTATCACATATAAAAGACATTTTCGATTAATTAGTAATTACGAATGAATATTATTTTTTTGGTTTACCAATAAATTAATAATCAATGTTACATGTAAAAATTATTTTCATAATTATTTTTGGGTTCCCGATAAATTAATAATTATCTTATACAAAATATATTAATGATAAATTAGTAATTACAAATTAATACTATATTTTTATTTCCCTATAAATTAATAATTAATATTACATGCAAAAAATATTTTCGCAGTTATTATTTTTGGGTTCTCAATAAATTAATTATTATCACATGCAAAAGGTATTTTTGATTAATTATCAATTACAAATTAATACTATTTTTTTAATATTCTCATAAATTAATAATTAATGTTACATGCAAAAGATATTTTTGAAGTTATTATTTTTTTCTTTCTAATAAATTAATTATTATCACGTGCAAATGCATTTTTGATAAATTAGTAATTATGAATTAATACTATTTTTTATTTCTCAATAAATTAATAATTAATATTATATGCAAAAAGTATTTTCATAATTATTATTATTGGATTTTCAATAAATTAATTATTATCACATGAAAAAGGTATTTTCAATAAATTAGTAATTACGAACTAATAATATTTTTTAATTCCCAATAAATTAATAATTAATGTTATATGTAAAAAAATATTCTTGATAAATAAATAATTATGAATTAATATTACCTTTTTGTTTATTAATAAATTAATAATTAATGTTACATGTAAAAAGTATTTTCGATAAATTAATGATTACTAAATACTATCTTTTGGTTTACCAATAAATTAATAATTATTGTTAGATGCAAATTACGAATTAATTACGATATTTTCAAGACGGCACTTAGCCACCCGCCTATTACGATGCCCAAAAAGGTGCCTTGCGCACCTAGTTTTCTATTTAATATAGACCGCCTTGACCACACCTAGGCGTTTTTTGAAAAAGTCCACCTAGGAGGCTGACTTTCGTTCATTGGGGATGGTTAAACTTTTACTTCTAGAGAGTTCAATGATTTTGCTAAGTCGGGAGAGCAAGTAAATGGGAAGATTGGTAAGGGTTTTTTGACCAATGTTTAGAGATGTGTATCTCTTGTAACCCAAAACTGTAATCTTCATTGTGATAGTTGATTTATACTTGCCAAGGCCGTGGATGTAATCCTATATAGGGTGAACCACGTAAATCTTGTGTGTAGTGGTGTGTTTTTATGTTTGCTTTATTTATCGCATTCGATTTATAGTTGTATTAATTTATTTCGCATTTAGTCAATCATGTACACGATCTTGGGTGGGATCTCAAATATTTGGGATTCCTGGTTCTGCAAGTTAGGGGTTCCAGAGAATCCTACACTATAGGGTTGAGAATTTTTTTGGTTCATCGAGGATGCGAAACCCGCATTTCGGATCTAGGTATGGATCCAAGACTTGGATCCGAAATTTTGATCTGGATCTAAAATTTAGATCCAAATTACTATAATAATCAAATCCAAGCACAAATAATCGATCCAGATCGGACACGGTTATTAAGTACGTGGGAGGCAAGGCACACAGGGGATAGG